AGGCACAGAGAGTCAAGGGAAACCAGGGCAGGACTGATGCTGGACATGTCTGTGGCAGAGTGGAGAACATGGAAATGGACTGGCTCATGCTGCAGCAGGGAACAGAGACCCAGTAGGAACTCTGTTAGGGGGCTGCTTCTGTCATGTCTTATAAAACAGGTTACAGTGCTGCTTGGTGCTGTGTGCAGCACTGGCACCCAAGAAGAGCTCCAGGTTCAGGGACAGTAAAGCTTCTTATCTTATTAAGTTTTAAAAAACAGTGAGCACACTAGGTACCACGGCTGACTCAGGTAAGTACGACCACTCTGGTAACATATACTGGCATCTACGTGGCAGGCACACAGGGGCTGAACACAGCAGAGTGAGCACCACCAGCCACAGCAGGGGACAGGCCAGTTGTGATCTCAGGAGCCAAACCAGTTCACCTCCAAGGGGCCGGGGTCATAACATTTAAACACAGGCGACTCCTGCTGTTCAAACAGGGTCGAGGAGCAGGGGAGGACACGGGTCCAAAGTTGGACTGGAGAGTCATGAGATCCCCGAGGACAGTCTGGCTGCTGGGTGGTCCCAACTCACCTGGCTGTGGACTGTACAGTCTGGTATCAGACAGAGGGGGGACTGTGCCAAAGAAAGAGTTGTCAGGCTTTGTCTTCTGGGTCCGTTTCCTGCTGCTACTTTCCTACAAAGTGTCCAGGAAAGCAGAGTGTGCAGCCACACAACTTTAGTTTGTGTTGCCTTTGTGAGACACTGAATTCTTCAGAGGCTCTGTTCAAACCTCATTGGCGGCAGCAGACTGCACCATCCGGGCCAGGAAACTCTGCAGCCACTCATCAGGTTTTTAACTTGTGACACGCCACAAAGATAAACAGAACTTGGCATGTTTCAGTAGAATCCAGTTCTGAAACAACAGTGTGTTACTGACTCACAAACTCAGTTGTGTCCCACAACCTGCTGCTCTCTCCTCCGCAGGGGTATCCCATCATGCCTCAGTGTTTCTGGCCAGGGTTCCGGGGCCCCTGGGGGCCTCATGGCAGCTGTCCAGCAGAGAGGAGCAGGGGACGGAGGAAGAGATGGACTTTCAGCCGGAGCTGAAGGACGAGGATTTAATTATAACTCTGTCCATTCACACATCACACATGCGCTGAGCACACACACAAAGACACACTGAACACCCACACACACACATATCCATCCACACTAAATAAACACAAAAACAGAAACGCACACACACAGCGTGGAGGTTCTCACGTCTTTTCACACAGGTTGTCATGGAAACGCCCTCCAGGTTTGAGGTCTGGGAGAAACTGAAGATGTCAGATTTCACTTGACTGATGTGCAAATAACGGACATTTTCACACACGTGTGAACAAGCCACGTCTGGCTAAAGCAGGACTGAGCACCAAGGCCGTGGTGTGATACATGCACTGTACGTCCTGCTCTCTGAGGACATACTTCACTACACTCGTCTGACTTTACAAACCAAACTTTGTATTTTTGTTTCCCCTTTATTCTTCTGTGTGACGCCTGTCGAGGCTGACAACCTCTTTGTCAGGGTGGCCTGGCTGAGACGGCAGCGTGACAACTTTACAACACAACAAGACACACACACACACACAAAGTAAACACAGACACGAAGGAACAACAAGGTTTAGTGAACTGACCCGTGCTGAGAACCAAGTTCAGTCAGCGAAGCCACGGTCACCGACTTAGTCTCTGTCTACAAACTGCTCAAATGCCTGCAGCGACAAACCAAGTTATTTTTGACCTTCTGTCAATAAAAAGTTTAATCAAATAATTCAGAAGTTAGATGGCAGGTTAACCAGTGACCCCTGATTCTGCTTTCTCTTTTCACCACCAGACACACAGAGACACTTCACACTGCTGCTTCGTCTTCCTGACAGCTCTCTGAGGGCAGGACCTGGCTTCTGATCACTAGGCTGGATTTTTACATGAACCCATATTCGCCCCGATTCTTTATTGGTTCATAGAACTGTTTTCCCCCGATGGCTGAAGCTCCTGGAGGAACATGTTGAAAGTCTGAAGTTCAGCCGATTCCTGCAGACCTCCCTGTTCAGACTTTGACCCTCTGAGCTGTGCTCACCTCTGTCTCTGTCAGGAACACACATCAGAACCAGAGTCAGTCAAACTCATTTTATTAGGAAAACAACGTGAAGCTGCAGCTGATTTACAGAAACATCTTCTCCACACTCACACAGTTTTACAACGTAATGTTACACAACACATCTGCATACAAAAAGTGTAAAAGTGGGGGCAGCTCTGGCTCAGGAGGAGGAGCGGGACGTCTCCTAACCGGAAGGTTGGCAGTTTGATTCCCGGCTTCTCCAGTCCACGTGTCAACGTGTCCTTGAGCAACACACCGAACCCCGAGTTGCTCCTTGTGATGTCAACGTTATGTGTGTGAATAAGCAAATAGTGTGAAGACGCTTTGAGCGTGCTGTAATGCAAAGAAAAGCGCTGCACACGTATAAGACTATTTAGCATTTAAAAAGGAAACATACAATAACAAACCCTCCTCTTCACCAGTCATCAATAAACCACACAAACATTGAGAGTGAGGCATGCTGGGTAACGACACTGACCACAGATTGACTATGAGACAGGAGGTCTCACTCTGTGCCTCTGTACTTCTTTACAAACCCAGAACAGGGATCGAAACCATAGCTGAAATGGTGCAATTGGTTCCAGTTTCTAAGCAGGTTAAAGGATCGGTTCACCCAAATGCTCTCTCAGCCCTGCGTCATGGTTTCAGTCCAGTTTCTAGAAATAAACATGCTCATGCCACCTGTGGCCACGCCTTTATGTTTTCTGGAATGTGACTGGCTACTCGGTGTCCCCACAGAGCTCAGTCCTCAGACAGGTGTGCACTCAGTGGAGTGTCCTGACAGATGATCTGATGTACTCAGGACAGACATGACACAGAGATAAAAAACATGTCTGAGACGTGACAGCTTCGTGAACAAGAGCACAGAATCCTGTTTCTGTCTGAGCAGAGGGAAGTGAATCCTGGGGTCCTTCTGGCCCCCAGTTTCATGTTAGATTTAGTGTTCTGTTAGAACAGGCAGTGAGTGAGCAGAGGACGACAACCTGTCCTGATCTGGGGAATCTACAGGATCAGAAGGTGAACATGGATCCATGAGGTCCAGGATGCTGCTGGAGCGTTTCCTCAGACCCTAGTTTAAACACCAGAGCTGAAACATCTGCAGCTGCACAAAAAGGCATCTGACAGGCTCCAAATGCAGCTGCACATCTTTAAGTCACTTAATGGGTTGACACCTGAACACGTTTCTAATATGCAGGTTAGGCTTTATGCTCCTTCTGCAGCTCTGAGATCCTCAGACTCTGGCCTCCTGGTCACTCCTCAGACGCTGCTTTTTCTGACACAGGCCAACATCTTTGGAAACATTTTCCAGAGGAAGTCGGGCTTCACACACAGCAAATATGTTGAAACATCACCTTAAAATCTACTTTTACAGGCTAACATGTATGTGTAGCCTGAAGAGTGTCATAAAGATTTGGCTGCTTTTATTTTTGTACTGTTTCTTTGGGGATGTTTTTGCATTGTTGTACAGCACTGTGCTAGAGAAACACCGTTAATATCAGAAAGTGCTGAAAGGGGTCCTTTCCAGACTTAGACAAGTGTACCCACCAAAGAGATGACTGACTGGTGACACAAACTGAAACCGGATGGACATCTCTGACTCTGACACGCACCTGGTCAGGTAACACATGACACACTTATAATGTTCTGACTGAATCATCACAGCACAAACTAGAACAGCAGTGATGTCACAGGGCATCTCTCCTTCCCATCAGCCCCAGCACCAACAGAAGTGGGGCGGAGTAAGCGTGTCTCATAGATCCCATTGCGTCCGATATAACAAACCCATTTAATGAGGTTGCGATCACTGTAGTTTAACTTTGGCTCAAAGATCTTCAGGAAGCAAATGTTCAGGCCTGATGGAGCAAAGGGCACCTGAGGAGGAGAGTGGAGGGAAGGAGCAGGAGGAGGAGGAGGCAGGGAGGAGGACAGAGGCAGGAGGGCGAGGAGGGGAGAGGTAATTAATTTTTAAAAAATTAATTAATATGAGGCCTCAGTCTGGAAACACTTTGTCTTCTCACCTCGAAGTTCATGGTTGTGTCCACTTCTTCTTGTCGTTTGTTGGCAGCAGCTCGATCTGTTGAGACTCCTTCGTCCCCGCCAAGTGTTTTATCCTGCAACACACATGACCAGTAGCAACACACTTGGTGAGCGCTTTGTTCTGCATCAAGGCAACGCAACTTTATTTATATAGCACATTTTATACACAGAAGCAGAAATGCTTTACAAAGGCAAGGAAATAAGTATTAAAAATAGTTAAGACAAAATAAGGATAAAACAATAGTTAAAATAAGATAAAATACATTAAATGTAAATAAAAACACACAACCAAAGAAACAAGGTCAAACAAAATCTAGGGTTCAGCACATCGAAGGTCATCAGAAAGCCGGTTCCGCCTGTGCGCAGCACAGCAGCTGAAAGCAGCTTCACCCTGTTTGGTTCTGACCCGAGGTTCTACCAGCTGACTGCTTGCTAAGGATCTCAGAGTCCTGATGGGTTTGGCTTCTTCAGGGAGATCAAACATTTGGCCCCATACCATTGAGAAAGTTTATAAATTAGCAGCAGCACTTTAAAAATTGATTCTGCAGTTCAGAACTTGGCAAGTTCTACAGTCGAAAATGTAAAACGGTGTCAGCTGCAGCCTATCAAGCCTCATTCACTGCCCAGTGAAATATACACTCAGCTATATGTTTATTACCCAGGTCACAGTTAAAGGTGGTGTGGTACTGGACTATATGACATTCAGAGGTGTATCTATTTTTTTTTGTCCCCAGCTACATACACGAGAGAGTCAGAATATTAGGAACACCTCAGAATATATTTACATTATATATATATATATAT